ATCCTAACTCATAGTAATCCTTATTGCTTGCCAGTCCTCAGTGGGAAATCGTTCTAGGGGTTGCAGGAATGAACCTGAGGAATCCCTGGCAGGAAACCAGAAGGGATGGTGCATGCGAGGCATTCCAACAAGGGCAGCCACATCTTTTCGCCACAAGGATTCAACTAGGTCAAACCGGGATTACATGCAGGAATGTCCATTAGGGCGTGTTGTGTTTGAGCTTTCATCTTTCACCAATCGTTTCAATTGGTCCAGCGCCGAAGTCTCAATCCAACTCCCTCATTGCCGACACCCTCGCGCCGTGAATTCTCTTTGTTCTGTCCTCCGTTGAGGTTTGGGAGTCCCTATAGGTGCCTCGTTGCTTCCACGGCCTATGCTCTGGCAGAGGCCATGGAGCTGTCGAGGTGGCTCCTACCAATAGTCCGCACCTCTAGCGGTCCTATTGTGACCCGCCCTCGGGCGCATTGCGCCTGTCAGGCCACGGGAAAAGACATGCGCGTGGGCAAGCAACTCTGGCCCTTTGGTAGACCACCGTGCTGTGACACAGCCCTAACCACAGGCCTTTTGGTCAATTGGCTGATCCCGCAAAGGGATGCAACGCCGCACAGCTGCTTGGCGGTGAGGAAAATGCGGAAAGGAGACGGGACGCTTTTTGTTGTCGCTCTGCGAAAACTACACAGCAAGCACATGGTGAGTGCAACACAAGAAATCCGGCAACTGTGTGCGCCCTCAGCAAAAGCAAAATCACCGCCAAGAAAGCGTGTTCTGGGAAGATCGAGCAACTGCTTTAGAACATTGTCCAAGCGCTTCAGAAAAAAAAGACTTGCTGCAAAACTGCCGGATGAAATACCCGGAGCCACAAGTGGGTTCCAAGCGTGAGCCCCTCGGGCTGAACAGCAAACCGAAAGGACACCTGCGAACCTGTCCAGGGTCTCTGAGCCTCAAGTCTTGCAGCCCAGCAGTTATTGGATTCAGAAGGGCCGCGGCCTACTTACATCCGCTGCCTTCTGGGCACACCCCCGCGGCATGCAGAGATCAAAAGCAATACGCCTCGGCATTTTGCCGACGCATGAGGGAAATTCCCAGCAGCCCGGATGGGCTCAAAAAAGAACAGCAAAAGAACGTTGATCCAAGAGAAACCAGTCACGGAGACTACAAAGTGGTTTCAAGCGGCCTTCAAAATCAAACTTCCTGTAAATGTCATTCACTTCGGCTGCACCCTTGCTTGCGCTTCGTCCGCAACCAAACACCCACCAAAAAAAACACCCGGCCCAATCCACCAGCTGGTTGTGGACTATGGCCCCTTTCCGTGGTACCAAAGTTACGAATTCGAATCCAATCCCATTGCGGGTTCGATCCCCGTGTCAGACAATGTACCTTCTGGGCGATCCCCCGCGCGCACAAAGTTTAACTTTTCGTTGGTTGCAGGGAACAACCCAATAGCAGCCACAGTAGCCTAAAACCTGATTCATATTCCACGAGCATGCTCCTTTTTGAGGGTGCTTTTCAAGTCCTGGCACTTCCCACGGCGAAGGATAATGCGCATTGAATTATACTTTCATGGCGAAACCAATGGGTACCCGGAGGGCATGTAATATGTGTATATATAATATTGAACCTTGCTTCCCCCAAATACTTGCAGTGACTTACAGCCTGGGCCGTGCATGCTGGACGTCGCGGGTCTTTACAATGGAGCCGCCTGAACCCCCAACGCCCGGCGCGCCACCGGACGACGGGGATCCGTCAAACTGCAACTCAAGCGGGAACCGAGATGAGCCCCGGTCAATATTGATTGTCCTTTCCAATGACATCGGATTTTGGTGAGTACCCCCCAATTTACTGACAGTTTTTTTCAGTGAGTCCATGTGTTTATATGAACATTTACTGAACATCAGTTTTACACCAGTCAAATCATATCGACCGTTGCTCAGATCCGAAGCGGCCTCGGGTGCGAATCACCTCCGGCTCGGCCTTTGGTCCTTCGGAAAGCAAAAGCTTACTTGCAACCAAAGCTTTCCGTTTCCCCTTCAGGAAACGGAAAGGGGCCACGTCTTTGTTTGATTCGGGTTCATCCCTTCACACATTTGCACGTCGAATATTTTGGCTTGCGGAGCCCACCCAAGAGATTGCTTCGTGCCACAGTTTCGGGACCCGACTGGTTGCTGAAGCTTTCTTGCGGATTCCCACCGCCACCCTCATGGCTCCTAGGCAGGGCAGCGGAAACCTCCAAAAGCTCTGCCACAAGCTCCGGGGACTGTGAAGTGAATATGGACCCCATGGCCCATGTGGCAGTCCAGCGATATGAACGAGGCCTGGGAACTGGGAAGGGGATCATTTTCGAACACCGATTTTGGATCATTTTCGAACACCGATGTCCTGGATCATTTTCGAACACAGAGTGGGTCATTTTCGAACACATGGGGGGGCTATCCTGCGGCACCCGTGGGGTGGGGGGGGGGGGTGGGGTGGGGCAGTTGCGTTCGCCTCTTACTGCGTGCCCGTGCAACTGCGCCCTGGGGCTGGGGGAAGGGGGCAACCAGGAGGCTCCGAGTCCCAAGTTACCTTGGCTTTTTGAGCTAAGATGTCCTCGGCGACTTGCGCTCGTTGGCCCCCGTAAAGCCGTGAAAGCTCGGTCTAACGGCCGTAATAACTCGCGCGGGAAACTGAAAGGCCGCTACTACTCCGTGAAAAAGCCGTGAAAACTCGTGAAATTTCAAGCTCTGAGTTATCGCGTCCTCGCGACACAAAAAACCTCCTAATTAGCTCATACGGCCTAAGTAACTTGCGAATCGGAGCCTCCTGGAATTGCGATCGCCGCTTACTGCGTGGCGGCGCAACTGCGTATTGGGGCTGGGGGGGGGGGGGTGGGGTGGGGCAGTTACGTTCGCTTCTTGCTGCGTGACCGCGCGACTGCGTCCTGAGGGGGGGGGGATGGGGTGGGGCAGTTACGTTCGCCTCTTACTGCGTGACCGTGCGGCGTGTTGACCATGTTGATGATGATGATGATGATGATGATGATGTTGATGATGATGATGACGGTGATGATGTTGATGATGATGGTGATGATGTTAATGAGGATGATATTGATGTTGCCGATGAGGATGTCGATGGCGATGACTTTGATGATGTCGATGATGATGGTGATGTCGACGTTGATGTTGATAATGGTGATGATGTTGTTAATGATGATGATGATGGTGATGATGTTCATGTTGACGATGTTGATGATAATTTTAACGATGGTGATGTTGATGATGATGATGACAATGGTGATGATGATGGTGATGATGATGATGGTGATGATGGTGATGTTGACGGTGTTGTTGATGATGATGATGATGATATAGATGTTGGTGGTGATGTTGATGATGGTGATGATGATGTTGGCGTTGATGTTGATGATGGTGATGTTGTTGGTAGTGATGATGACGATGTTGATGATGATGGTAATGATGATGGTGATGGTGATGATGATGATGATGATGTTGACGACGATGATGATGATGCTGATGGTGATGGTGATGATGATGATGATGATGATGTTGTCGCTTTGCGTTCCTTGTGCTTTGTGTTCCCGGGTCTACAGTTGACGATTGTCTCCCAAAAGCACGGCGCCATCCATGTGCTACACGTGCATCGTGGTGCGTGTTCGTGCGCCTCATCGTGGTGTGCATGGACACTTGGAAAATGGCCGTGCTGCTGTAAATCACATACACTTGAGCAAAACCGCGTTCAAAAACGAGCCAAAACACGCGTTCAAAAACGAGCCAAAACACGCGTTCAAAAACGACCACCTTCCCGGGGTGGGGTTGGTCCACTTACCATGGTGAGAAATGATTTATGATCTGGACTGTTTTTGTGAGTTCCAAAGCTAGCACCGCTCTCGGTGACGTAGAGGAAACCAACATGCCCTTGACCCTTGCGCCTGCACCAATTCCTTTGCCATCCTTCATCTCCCGGAGCTGCGGTCAAAGCTTGCGCAGCCCGAAAGCACGGGGGAGGGCCGCGCCGCACAAAACCGCCGAACCCCCACGAGCTGCGTGTCTTCAGGGTCAAGAAACATGAGCACCACGGAGGCACAGGCTCGGCCTTAACCTTTGCGTCCCTTTCGCACCGCCCAGAAACAGAGGCTCGGAGTTCAGCAAACAACGTTGTGGGTATGGGTCAAGAGTCAAAATTAAACCACCAGCGGACCGCTGGTTTTGGACCATATGTCCACTAACCAGGGTTCCACGTTGGGTGCATATTTTTGACCCACAGCCATGTGTCAAAATCCAAGGAACCCCAAAGAAGATGCAGCGCGGGCGGGCTGGCGAGAAAGTCGGCATGTCCGATCCGGGCGGTTGAAACTCCAGGGAAATTGCAGTGAAATCTGAACCAAGGGACACCTCCTTTCTTCCCCTTTAAAGGGAAGCCCCCTCAAAGAGGCGGCACAAGGTCACCACTAGAGAAAAGGACAAAAAAGGAACCACTAGATGTCTGGTGAAGTAGCAACCCTTGAGGAAAGCAACCCATGGCCCCTAGGTTCGGGTACCCCGCGGAAAATTGGACAACGCCGGGGAAAATGGCAAAAGGCAAGCGCAGCAAACGGAGCCATCACTCCAGCCATATAAGCAAAAGCAAGCATTTAGAATGCCCTGGAAGAGCCGGAAAAAGCAACATGTGCATACGTCAAAACAAACCCCTAACCAACGTTGGCTAGTTTCTGACCGTGTCTTCTTAAGCTTCCCAGACAGCGGGCCAACTCCTCTTCATCACTAAATAATATTTCATTGAAATACATGTTTCCACTGGTTGGCAGAGATCCACGGTTGTGGCAAAACACTCTTTCTGTGATACCAACATGGTTGCTCCCATGACAACTACATCATCCAGGGGGTTCTCTTGGTTTTTCAGAACATGGCCCTAAAAAACTAAATGTTCCACAACCATGCAGATCCAGTCAGGCTCCACGCTTGCGTAAAGGCATAAAACGAATTCCACCGATTCTGATTCGCGGCTCATGCGCTGATCCACCTGAGCCGAAGTTGCAACTCGTGACAGAAGCAACATCTATGCAAACATTCTACCCAAACTCATGGGGGGGTGTCTCCCTCCAACAGATGTGGTTTCATTTTAGGCTTGCCTTTAAACACCACGAAAAAGGGGTAGCAACTCCAAAAACATTCATTAATCTGCTTTCCAAACGGCAAATTCGGCAAAAGAAGACCCTTGGTGACGGTCTTAAAACAAGGCCCAGCATGAGACCGACCTTGCATTCGATGCGGAAGTCAGGCTACGAAAGAGGTTCGCATCAGGACAAAAGGGATTTGCTTATTGCTTATTCTTGGTAGGGACATGTAGGGACTCTGGGACTAAGCGCAGAAAACAAATCCAGCCATGAGTTGCGCGTATTCCCTATAGAGAACAAGCAAGTGTGCGCTGGGATCATGAACGTGCCACTTCGAAGTCGGCTTTGGAAGCCTTGCCCCCACTTACAGAGAGTCTGTAAGTGGGGAGATCCCGTACAATCAAATCACCTGGAAGCTAAAGGCAAACCTTTCAGAGCCGTCCCATCAACGACGAAAACTGGAAAAGCGGAAGCTCAACAGATGGAGTCGCTTTGGAAGTGCGAGAGGAGAAAGACACCGGGTGACATACTGAACACGTGCTTGATGCCATCCCGCATTACGAGAGACCATGCTTTATCGCCAAATGGTGGCAAGCAAGACGCTCCTCAGTCTCGAAGGTTTCTACTGCCAGGTTTGGCCGAATTGAACTTGCCCTGGGACAAAGGTGTTCCTCGATCCCCGTTACACCAAGGCTCTGTCAGAGAATTCACATCATACGTAGTAATCTTGCTGGTGCGAGAGGTAGGGAATGCGAATTGGAATGACCCTGATTTACTGGTTTCCCTTCAGCAAATCCCCAGGTTCATTCCCATATTCCCTGAGCACCAGCAAGTGAGAAGATGGATGCAAAGGGCCAAAAGGCCCTTTCCGTCTAAGCGTTCCACTTGTCGACATGGTGCACAAACACCTCGCTGGAGACGTTCTCGCTCTCCTGGCGTCGGAGCTTGCATTGAAGAGGCTGGGCCACTGAGCAGGCAGCTCACAACCATGGTTGTAACTCGGGAATGTGTACAACCTATCCAGGTTGGTTGAGGTCCAAGTTCCTCAAGTTGTGGGACTGGCAATTCTCTTGACAACGTCCCTTCCGAAGGTAGCACATCTCAAATCCAACACCCTAAATATGGAGAAGTTGTACCACGTGCATGATCCAAACTTCCTATGTAGCTTATCAATTCCAATGAGATGCCCCCCTAGGAAAAGGGCGGGGTATTGTGCTGGAAACTACAGGAGGATCCGCGCACGGATTCAACCTGGCAGATTACTAAGGCGGTTGTTTCCCCCAGTGAAGGACTGCCTCTCAAATGAGACAGACACTCCTCTAAGGTTTTTAATAATGAATGCTGGGCTACCATTCAATAGTTGGGTGTGGGTGAAAAAACGGTACCCCGAATAGAAGCCAAGTAAATGGAACCCGGTCCCCTGGCGGTAAATGTTTGACCCATACCCAATTCAGAGCTTCCCAGGGTTGTGACTTGTGTTTTGCATTCCAGCGAGTATGCCCTGTAGCAAACGCACGATGGACCGGGACCTCCGAGCGCCAGCAACACCGATGCCGGCTTCCGCCACGCGCCGAGCTGGGATATCTGATTCATGCCAATTTTAGGGCACGCATAGGTGTTAAACTGTGACCATCATGTCTGCCAACCCCAAATACATGGCAAAAAGGCTGGGTACTCATTGTGTCATGTGCCATTCCTCGCAGAGAGCAAAACTCATGATGCAGGAGATAATTCAAGACCATCCAAACCAACTAGAATTGATTCAACATGGTTCCGACATTCCTGGCAGGGGAATTAGAAACATGGCAACCCCTAAGGGAATCCAACGAAAAACATATCAAATGTCTGCCCTTTGGTCACTTTGAGGTTCCCTCCGCCTGAAGCAAACCGCGCAATTCCGAAACCGGGAAAAACCCATCATCACTTTCATCATCATCATAATAATAACAATATATTTTTATTTGTTTAAAAAAAAAAAAAAAAAAAAAAAAAAAACGCCGCGCCTGAGCCGTCATGAAGCCCGCCTTCTTCCTGGCTCAGCTCGCGTCGGGAGTGACCAAACGAACGCCAAACGCCCGCCATGCCCTTGCGACACCGAAGACAAAAACCCTCCGTGCGGTGTCCCTCAAAACCGACCCACGTGCAGCCCCAAAACCCCAACTTTCGATCCCTAAGAACTGGGCCCCCCCGAATGGTCCACAGGGATCTAAGAGGCTCACTGAACAAACCATTTGATAGCGCGGGGATCTCGGTTGGGGAACCCTTATTTCAGGGTGAGTAAATCAGGTTGAATAAGTCGTCGTATGCAATCATGTGGAATCCAATTAGAGCCTGTTTAGCTCAGCTTAGCTTAAGATATTTGGATTCCAATGGTTTTAGTGCTGTTCCGTGTCACACTGTCTGCCAGTGGCCTCGAATCGATAATTGTTCGAATCAAAACGTCAAAACGTGGTGACCTTAGCTCCGGCGGTGTGCGACATCTGATGAAGCTTCCTCTCTAGTGATTAAATCCATAGAATCCCGCTGAATCAAAGGCCACTTACAATTAGGGTTGGCTCTTACATAATTTGCCGGCCTTTCTCCGGGCAAGTTGCACCTCGAACCTGTTTGGGTGTGAACAGCCGTTGATCCAATTTTCATTTGTTCAGTTGATCAGCTAGAAGAAGTAACGATTCACTGTCATACTCGCATGTATGTCAATGTGCATGTAGACTAATATGTGTGATGTGTGGCACTGTGCGATGTGTGGCACGGTGTCTTGGTCCGATTTAGACAAGGACAACATGAACTCAAACATATTCCTCGTCAAGGTAAGTGGCGCGTGTTTGGACCTGAATGAAACGCAGGACGTTCTCGAAAGAACCCCATGCCAAACGTGCCCCCCCCCCCCCCCAGCCCAACGTGTGCGCACCCCTTCACATCCTCATGGAAGCTTTTTGAGCTCGGCACTCAGCTCTGGAAAGGGTGGGAAGTATTCTTCCGTTTGCTTAAGCCCAGACAAAAAAAAAAACATATTCCAGTGATAGATTCCCTAAACCAACAGGGGGAAAAGAACAAATGGAATAATATGGTAAACCAATGGAAAATAATAATAACAATAGCAAATGGAAAACCAACAGGAAAAAATAACACATATTCTTAAGCAAATGGAAGTATTGTGAAGTTTTGCAAATGGACCACAGAAAGGAACCCCAGAGGTCAAAAAGATCAGTTTTCGCACACTCAACTCACATCACTCGCTTCAGAATTTGCCCCCTACCCGCATCTCAGAATCTCTGTTCGCGTCATTCGCGCTGGGCCCTCGCAGAAAATAGACATTCTATTGATTTAGCCAAGTCATTAGTCAAGTATCTATTACCACCTCCGGGTGTGGGCCTCAATGCTATGTTTCAGGGCTTGTAATGTAAAATCAAGATTCATCATACAATCCGGACGACTTTTCTGACCAAAACAGTCCAACCCCAAACTGAAAGTCCGCTGACGTGAGAGGGCAAGTGGTATCTCTACCCCTTCAGCTCCTCTTGATCAGCTTCATCTTCCGCGTCTCGGTCTCGTCCAACGCGCACACCTCGAGGGATGAATCGACCCCAAATTGATCACCGGTCTTCCTTGTTCAAGAGATATACTCATTTGGGGGGCCTCGTTGCTTGATTTGGGGATGACTTATCTTCAAGCAACCTGAAATAAGGGGACCCCCAAAACAGGAAAGGACACTTCAGAATCAGGACATATCATATATGTACAGATATATGTATGTACATATATATATATATATGTATATATATATGTGTATATATATATATATATTATATATATGGGACCCCCTGGAATACTCAGGTGTTCGTTCAAAGATTGACATGATTGCTGTAAAAATGAATGCGAGTTTCCAGCTTCTAAAAATGATGCTCAAAAAATCAGCCTCTATTTTAGACCAAAAACATAGCATCACTACTTAGTGCAATCCCGGATGTGCTAGCACGTGCTTGCTGAGATTCTTCAAATCTATAATTCGGGGAACCCATGTGCTAGCACATCCTGGATTGAAGATTGAAGATTGAAGAATCCCAGAAAGAGTTGCGAGAGAATCTTCAATCTTCAATCCAGGATGTGCTAGCACGCGCAAACACATATCAGCCGGACCTACGTATGGATTTGAAGATTTCCAGACAAGTTGTCTGAGAATCTTCAAGCTTCAATCTTCAATCCAGGATGTGCTAGCGCCTGCTAGCACATCCTGGATTGCCCTAAGAACATAGTTGAAGAATCCCAGAAAAGGTTGTGAGAGAACCTGCACAATCCTCAATGATCAATCCAGGATGTGCCAACAAATCCTGGATTGCCCAAGTATGGAATCTAAAAAGGAGCAAGCAGAGCGTGTGTTTTGAAAGCTTTGTTGCTTTTGTGGAACTTGAGGGCTGGCCAAGATGGACGATTGTAAAAAAAACAAAACCTGGAGATCAAATCTTCAATCTTCAATGCAGGTGGGAAAACCTACAAGAGTCGAGGATTGAGGATGCCCTAATACAATGGCTGTGGCATCTTGAATAGTTGGCCTCCCATCCTGGGCAACATGATCTGAGCGAACGCAGAACACACCGCGTTTTGCGGCAGTTTATGCCAAGAACAAGAATTATGGTACAAACATTTGTCTCTTATTGGTTTGGCTCAGTTCTCGCTTAGCTAAAACCACATGGAGTTAGATAAGGACAATGTGTAACCCGTATGAAATTGATCTTGGTTCCAGCTGTGTTCTCCAATTGACTTTTAAAAAACGCACAAGAAACTGGCAACCGCTTAAAGTTGGTTTTGGCTTGAACTCGAAGCTATTTTAACTTGCATAGTCTTCGACAAGTAACGCGCAACTGAGATAGTTGCTTTGCTAGTCTGATTTAAATACACTCAGTTCGAACCAACATGTAAATGCAACTGCGCAGGGACATGATGCACTTGTGTGATTGATTCGGATGTCAGTTGCGCGTAGGATTGTTCCTTTCCCACAGGCGGATGATTTGCCGAGGTTCCTTGTCAAACGAAATAAGTAAAACCAAGTAGCTTTTACAGGCACCATGAAGCTGCCAAAGCATGCTTCGTATGCTACTCTTGTGCTGAAAGTTGTGCTTCTTGAGCTGGGGCTGCCAAAGTGCACTTCGCAGACTCCAACGTGCCGTGAAGTGCACTTCGCGTTCGAGCTGTTTAACGAGAAGCTCCTTTTGAACGTCGAGCTTAACTTTTGCTTGGTTTGACTTTGCATGGAGTTGCGCGTCCTGTCAGCTCAGTCAGAGTCCCCCCAGTCTGGCCAAACACTTCTAGTTCTGGACACAGGGTAGCATATATGCATATAAATGCGCATGTCCCTTTGTGGGGTTTTGGACACCGCTCACCTGTGATTGGAAGCCCCGTAAACATAGGCCATATCTACCCGTTGAGGTCCAACATTGCCCCTTGTCCCCAGAGATGCCACAAAGGCCAAAATAATTAGAACGGAGTTGTGCGGTGCTTTTACACCAAATTGAGTCAGGATCATAGGACAATCATGTCTAAGTGAATGAAACCCCGTGAAAATACCTTGCTCTTCTTCAGGACTCCCTATCTAGCTCCCAACATGGAAGCAACTCTTGGCATCATTTCAAGAAGCTTCGCCTTCCAAGCCGCAGCTGCAACCCGGTAGCTGGGATAAATCCAACTGACGTGGATTGAACATAAGCCCCCCCCCCCCGACGCAAGCTCAGGCCTTGGCCAAACTCTGGGGTACCGCAAAACAGTTCAGATTCTGCCTGGATATAGTACTGAACAAATGATTGACATAATGATATTGTTGGATTCATCCGGAGGACCGCATTCAGCAGGGGGTGGGTCCTCTTTCAGTAAGGGAAATGCTATATTTTAGGGGAGGTTCCCTGACTAGAGCGGTCCTCCGGATTCATCTAAAGTTGGCATTCGACACAAATCAGGCAACTGAATGGGAAACCCCTCCCCAACCACCAAACCAAGCCAAAAACCACCAATTGGAGGTACGAGTAAGCAAACAAATAGGAAATTCCTTCTTGACCACCAAACCACCAACCTCAACCATCAACTGGAGGTAAGCTGAAACATATGGGTGGGGAGATCCCCTTGAGCCGCTCGGATCACCCAAAAACCTCCTCCGACCCGTCTTTCTTCTCGCCTCGGCGATGCGTGCCCGGAGCTCCGCCACCTTGGTGTTGGACATCAGGTCCAGCCGCAGCCTCCGGAAAAATCGCCCCTTCTCCAGTCTGTCTCTGCCTCTGCCTCTGCCTGCCTTGGTTGGTCTTCTGTTTGCATGCCTTTGCCTGCCTGTCAGTGTCATCCAGTGTGCCTGGTGGCTGCCTGGCAGGCACTTGTGGGATGAGCCAATCAAGTATTGACATTGGCTTGTCAGATTGTTGCACCATCTGCCTGGCCATCTGCCAGTTTGTCAGCATTCCGTGTTTCAATGTCTGCCACTCTGACTCTCCGCTGGCTTCTGTCTCTGTCTTCGTTTGTCCCTGTGTGGTTCTCTCTGTCACTGTCTGTTTCATTGTCTTCCCCTATGCCAATGTCTCTAAATTCATGTGTTTGCCGCATGTGTCTGCTCTGTGTGTGTGTGTGTGGGACTGTGTGCCTGCGTGCCTGCGTCTCTGTGTCTCTGTGCGTCTGCGTGTCTGCTTGTCTGTGTACGTGTTTTGTGTGTGCTTGTCTGTGTGTCTGCGCGCGTGCGCGTACCTCCCGCCCCGCAACCTGACCCCACTGTCAAGCTGACAAGGCCGCGCCTTTGCGGCTCGTCGTCCTCCCAAGTGCTGAACCTGCAGTCACGTGATGCGTTGTTTCTTTGGAACTGCAAGAGATGGCTTCCTTATTTTCCTGTGGCTTCCCTTTAAAAGCAGCCCAGAAACGGTTCTCAAGACACATATACCCATGGAACCCAGAAAAAACACATCCCTTCTTAGAGGACACTCCTGCTTTTCTCCGTTTCGGCTGGGTGCAACCAACGCGGCCCAGGCGCGAAATTCGGAGACTCGGGCCGCGTGCCAGACCCGGCATCTCTGGTAATGTGTTGGGTTTCATGTTCATAGGGAGTATTCAGAGTCATGGTTGTACATATATATATATATATACACATACATAGGTTGTTCAAACTAAAGGTGCCTGCAAACTTCCCTCTCGTCGGCCTTTCCCGGCCCTGGGTTTTCCTGTCGCGAGGCCAAGTCAGAAGAAAACTCGTTTCTGAGCAATTGTTTCCTACTCTGCTTCTTGAGAAGCAGTTGTTCGCCATTTGATGGTGACTTTCGTTCTGGTCGAAGGGCGAGGCCCCACTTTGGAAGCTCGCCCTTTGCTTCCTTTTGCGGACTTCGTCGGTAACACTCGGATTTCGTTGGTGCAACTTGATGGAAAAAGACCGCTGTCCTGCCACCCACAGCCAGAAACCGACGACTCAGAAGCGTGGTCGATTTTCGTCTTCTGTGCTTTCCCCTTCCTTTCTCCAGCCTGTCGCGACGCGGGGTTTGCCTTTCGCGGTACTTCAGGACCGCCCCATTTCGAAATTTTTGAGACTCGGAATTTGGAACGGCCCCCATATGCCCTTCCAGTGAGTGCCAAAATGGGCCATTGCGATGTTCTCACACTTTGAGCGCCTTGGTATCACAGAAAGCAGCCCCAAAACCCCATGTCCGATAGCCATTCCCTGTGTCCCCCCCCCCACCCTCATAGTGAATTTTGGGGAGTGCGCCTTGTTCCCTGCTGGCAATTCAGTACGTACACTCCCTTGCCAGCAGTGGGTGTTTCCCAAACATGGTGGACCCCATTTGCTTGGTATGAAAGGGGAAATTCAAACAATCTAGGGGACCACTATTTTGAGAAACACCCAAATGACGGTGAATTTCGACCCCAACTAGCAGCCCCTCTTTTCCCCCCGCCTGGTGACCGTGACTTTGAGCGCAACAGCCGGCCTCGGCCATGCAAAAAGCTGAGGCGACTATATCTTTCAATATCAACCGAGAGAAACTCACGTGAAATTGGCAACGGTTATAACTGGGAGAAGGGTTAACGGTTAGTGCCCTGATGTATTTCCCAAAACAACAAACTCGCGCAAACATGGTTCCACTATGTTTGGGTGTGTCTCAAAATGGGGGAACCCAAAAACTGGGGTCCGGGCGATTCTTCTCGTGGCTTCCCTTGAAACCACCCCAACATGAGTGCCCAAGCCAAAACAGCCTCGCCAGAAGCCCCAGCCCAGGCTTCAACCAACACCCTCTGAGGGCTGAGGGCTTTGGAACCAACTGGTTCTCGTCTACAAAATAGTCATCCGCTGTTAGGCCCAAGGAACAGACTGGGCTATTCAATATATGGGGTCGGCCAATCCTGTTCTATCCCAATTTGGAAATGACTGCAACGGGAACTCCTTTCGTAACCCCAAACAAGAATATGAGGGTTGCCTTTGTTCCACCAGGTCTCTGTTTGGCTCATGTCATGAATACCCGACCCTTTTGCCACCGATACCCAGCAACCTACAAAACCGATAGGAAATGGACTACTCAACACCAGTCCTTCTAATAGCGCGTCAGTTGCTCGCATATATCTAGCCGCACCCTTATAATTGTGCTTGACTTTTCAGGAAATACACTAAACAAACTCGGAAATAACGCCCAGACTGTCCATCCATAAACTGTTTCACAGGCCCAAAGCTGGTTGCGAAGCGCTACCCGAAATGTTCTCCGTCCCCGTGGCCCGGAAAGTGGCCCAAGCGTAAATACGACAACTTACTCGCACGCAGCCGGCCGCGCAAAAATAGGAAATGGAAAAAAAACGGGGCCCCCGGCTTCTCCTCTTTGGGCTTCGGGGCGGCCTTGGGCTTCTCCTGAAAAACTTCACGGAGCGGATCAACATGCGGATCCCCCTCATAGTTTCTGGTGTTCTTCTCAGGGGTTTGTTCAAACATGTCCAACATGGCGCAAATGACAACTTGGATTCTGTCTTTGGGGACCCCTTGGTGTGGTGTGGGTGTGAACCCTTGGTCCTCCACAAGCCCCAGCATCCTGCGGGATGACTGGTGGCCTTCCTGGGTCGATTGCTCGTCTGCTGTATCCCAGGGCTCGTTACAACTTGCCCAGACCACATGAGCCAATTTGATGCTGGCCGCGGAGCAACGAAACCCCCAATAGGATGGCCCGTTCTTGTTAGGAGTCCTTTATTCTTGTTTTTTTGGGAGGGGTGGGGGGGGGGGGGCGCCTGAAAAACGACTCCGGGGCCAACAAGCTTCCGCTGTCAACATGTTGCAAAGTTATTGAGGGCTTGTCCTTGCCAACTTCAGTCACCATCAAAACCGATCGCCGCTACAAAACGTCCACCCCCCCAAAAAAAATATAGGAAAGCAAACGGGAACTTCTTCTCCACATGTGCTTGAGACCGCCCCGACCCCAATCGGTTGTGGAAGTCTGTCCTTTGGCTTCTTGGGCTTCTCAGGCTCAGCCATCACCTGCCCGTTCCGTTTGGGCCGCTGTCGGGGCATCAAAAATTTGGCCCAGGGAAACGGGAACGCCCGTTCCTGTTTCACCCAGACCCACGAGGAGACCAACGAGAAAGTCTTCGGGTCTCACAAAGTGTCAAGCGTTTTTCCAAAGGAGGAGCATGCACACAAAATGTTCAGCCATCCCACCAGCAAGCATGAAAGCGCAAGAACATCTTCGAACACGAGGAATTGAGACAAACGCCGAACCCACCCAGCTCCACACCCAGCCAACTCCTTTGACCAGGCGCACCGAAACCACCAGACCCAAGCAGCCCCGCGCAAGAGCCAACGAGCACACCAGCCAGCCCATCACGTCGCCGATCCCATCTTCACGGCCGCCAAGGTCGGAAGTACTTGCCGCTGCGAATGGGCGTGTCTGCTATTAGGGGGGCCCCAAAAATTGTCTGGTCTTGGTGTTGGGTTTCCCATACCCTCCCGAAACGGGAGGCTTTACCCTCAACAAAACGGCACACCCAAATAGATCTTCGACCATGTCCATTTGGTCTATAACCATCGATACTTCTGGTAACTAGGGCTGGTCCAGCCATTAAAAACCGTAGTTACAACTCACTAATCGCTCCCCAAGTGGCAGGGTGCAAAACAACGCTGCCCGGCAACCCATGACTCAGCCTAGCGGTTAATGAAGGGTCAACGTCCCTGGGCGATCTTGGCGTAAGGTGGCACCAAAACAAAGTAGCCCTGGCCAGTTCCCTAACCCGACTGGGGAAAGCAAGTGGAACCTCAATCTGAAAGCACACCAGTTGTGGCCACGGGCCATGTCTTTGTAAACCCGACTGGGAAAAAACCAACAGAAGCTTCTCAAAAAAGGTGAGAACCCTCTTCTAGTTGGTATTTACAGGGCAACCAGAAGGAAGCCAACCGCAAGCCAAAGGTGTTGATTTTTGTCCGAGCCGAAGCCCCGCGCTCATGGCAGTGCCGAGAGGACGCGAATGCCACAAACCCCACCAAGGTGGTGAGAGATGGAGGCACCATCTTTGAATTCAATGCGGGGGAGTGGACACCTGTACAGCCAACCCGAGCTGCTGAGCGTAAGCTTGGGAAAAACACCTTCTCTGCCCATCTCTGCACTTCCGCATCGCCAAACCAACGTTGAACAACTGACAAACCAATGTCAAATCACCGCTCATCTCGGGGCACGAGCCAACGCCCCCGCCGAAAAAGAATAAAAAGGGCGCTTCAACGCGCGGCCGAAGCTATACGAGCCACGATTTCAGCGGCGCCCGCTTCGAGCCGGGACTGCGGAGCCCGCTCTCACGCCCCTATGCGGCCTCGAGTGGGGGGAGCTAGGAGCATGTGCGTGGGAGTTGGTTGAAGGAGGGGAAAGGCTTGGGGTGGTCAGTGTAAAGTCCTATAGAGGTGTGTCTTCCCTACGTGGGTGTTCAAGCCAGATAAGTTGTAACCATGGTTGTGAGGGCACCAACCTCAGCTACACTAGGTATAGCCATGTCATATTCTACTTCTTAATTTGGTTAACGATTGTTTACCACTACCATGGTCCGAACCCAACAAGCATCAAGTCAAGGAACCCAAGGAGTGAGGCGGGTGTGAAACTTCATAGGGAACCCTTTGGTGGACATCATTCAGGATACTAGGGGATTAGCATCAAAATTTGCTCCCAAACCTCTAAGAAAATGGTTTGGATGCGCTTTTTGTGGATTTCCCCACAGCCCCTCCCCCCCCTCCCCTCCCCCCCTCCCCTCCCCTCCCCCACTCCCCTCCCCCCCTCCCTCTCCCCCTCCCCTCCCCTCCCCCTCCCCTTCCCTATCCCCTCCCCCTCCCCTCCCCCTCCCCTCCCCTCCCCTCCCCTCCCCTCCCCCTCCCTCCCCCCCTCCCCCTCCCCTCCCCCTCCCCTCCCCCCACCCCCCCCTCCCCCGTTTTCGAGAAACCGCGTCTTTCGCCTTCAACCCCTTCGCCGCTGCTCTGCACGCTTCTCTGCGCTCGCCAGGCGCTGCTGCACCGCCTGCTCTGCGGAGATCTGTGACTCGCTTTGCCACCCCGGGACGGGACTGAGCGAGGGGTTGGGGACTGGTTGGGGGGGGGGAATGATGGACACTTAAGGTACCAGTTTCTTGGGGTATTGGTTTTTGAATGTTTTTGAAGGGTCCATTTTGCAACGGCTACAAAATAGACTCTGAGAAAACCCTGGAAAGGCACTTCGAGGAAACTCAAATGGGTGCCTACACCGGAACAAAGGAACAGCAGATTATAGGATTCCCTCAACGAAAGGTAAACATATCGTGAAACTCGAATCTGCAATTTCTGGTGACATCAAATTCAGAGCCAAACAAGATGTTGAGAAATTGGGTGTACATGCAAATAGGAATCCTGTGGATGTTGTTTACGGGACTCATGTTCGCCAACCTTTTTTGAGGGGGTTCTTTACGACCAAATCTATGGTCAGTAAACCTTCACATGTAGAAAAATGTCACAAGACCTCGCAGGTATGGACCCCCTCCTTGTTTTCTTTGGATTCTTATGTGGGGAACTGGGGGCTTCAGGTTGCCCCCCCCCCCTCCACACACACGCACACACACACAGAGACACAGACACACAGACACAGACACAGACACAGAAGATTAACAAAGCGATCCCAAATCAGCTGGGTTCAGCATGACTCGTGGAGAACTTGAGCTTTAGGTTGCCCCTTTCCAATGCCCCGGCCATCTCAGAAACGTTGAATTCCACAACGACCGGGGGAGCGGGGGGGGGGGGGGGGGGCTGGGGCATGCCGGCAGAGTCTATTTGCGTGTTACTCAAAAGCGTGTACAGCTTTCGGAACGTCTTGTCTCGATCCGCTTTGCAAGTGAGTCTTTAAAAGGGCACGCCGAGATCACTTGGGCTTGTCTTTTGCCAACTTGTTTTCAAGGAGCGGGATCAGAATCCCTTCCCTCTATTGGCATGGAAACTTAGAGACCCTGGCGACGATCTTCCTCCAAGGCTTCTAGGAATCTCCGCCACGTTGGGAGGCTTACTGGGCGCCAAATAGGCGAGCCCCCAGCAACTCCCAACTGCCTCCCAAGCAGATCCAATAGGACCCCAGGGCCAGTGAGGCTGGTGATGCCAGGGATGCGGAACCAACCAAGCAACCAAGCGAGCAACCAACGCAGCCCTAGCTTAAAGAAAACAAATAGCAACCCTAAAAAAAAGGATCCAAGTTAAAAAAACAAACAAAAGGTACTGGGCACCGACTCAAAAAAAGGCGCAGAAATCGATCAAAAGCATCGATCCTTCACGCTGCGCCCGGACTTCTGCCACTTGGTCCAGCTCTTCCCGGCCACGTCCTCGTCCAACTCCTCCTCCTCACCTCAAAAGCAAACAATGCGCACGAAGGGCGGGAAGGCGGGATGGTGGGGGAACCCAAAAAAAATGGATGCGCGCGTTCGTGTGCTTGTTTGTTTGTTTGGTCGTTTGCTTGCTTGCTTGCTCGCTTGTGTGATTGTTTGTCAAACAGCCGCAGCGTCTGACTGGGGAAGCCTTTTTTGGCAAGCGTCCCAACAAAAACCAGCTATGTGAGGGTGGGTGAGCCATATACATGTGTCTCTTGTGGACTCTGAACTTCAGATGTCATAAACTGCGTCCAAGCCCCAGACCCCGCCAACCAGGATGCAAAAGGAGCCCTTTTGGTAAACCCCTCTTGTGTGCAACCCCAAATCTTCCAATCGCGTCAGAATTTGCCGAAGGCATTTGCCACTCATCGTCATCCTCTGCAGGAGCCGGTGTACCGTTGATTGCCTTTCAACCGCCATCCCAAAGGGATTCCCTCATACTGATCGAAGGGTTCTCATCGGACCTCTCTGGCCGGGGCGGGGCCACTGATGACTGTCCGCGTCTCATGTTGGGAATTCCCCCCATGAAACATTTGCTTAGGGCGTCCCTGAAAGGCGACGCGCTTGACTAGTTCTTTGCGGTTCTCTAAAAACGGAGTCTCTCATTTTGGGCACACCACACAAGACCCCCCTCAACATGGGTGTCTCTTAAAATTGGGCAACTGGTGTTCCTTTTGGTTTCCTTTCAAACCCACACACAACTTGCTGTTCAGGAGGCAGGGAATGAGGGAATGACCCTTTCCCAAAACCCTGGGTCTTTCCCGTACCAAGCGCCAGAAAAAAAAAGAGGGTACCCTCGAACGACACGCCTCCCATTCGTTGCTTTCACAGCGGCCGGCCGCGGAATCTTCCGGCGTGGGGCGCAGCTTCCCGGCCCAGGGCAGCGCGTTCTTGGGCTTGGGCAGACCATTGCTGGGGCCTGGAAGAGGCACCAAAGCTGGCCACTTAAGCTGACTTTCTGGGTGGAGTGGCCCAGCTTTGTCATCATTATCAACTACCACTAAAAAGGGCTCCCAAACAGTCTGAACCTCCGTGAGAAAAAGGAAAAACACTAACAAACAAGTTGATTAAACAAAGGGTGTTGAACTACGGCTGTGTCTGACAAATTCTGGGAACCCCGCAACATTGTGGATTACCAGGGCTGGGAAGGGTTCCAATGCTTGAACTTCTGCGCATGTTGCCTTCTGTTGGGTATCTGTGTTTCCTCATATGGCCGGACAAAATCTCTCTCACAGCCGCACCAGACCTTCTGTTTCAGCCTCTTCACGCGTTTTGAGTTTTGATTGTCATCGCGGCGCACCCTTGAAATTGGCACCGGGTGTCCCCTTGGCCGGCCAAAAAAAGCAGAACACCGCCACCGCCTCCAATAAATGTCCGGTCCCCTGGGTTTCCCCTCGATCGGGGCCCGGGCCAATTCGCGAGGCCCAGGTCTGAGGCTTCTTCTCCAAGGCCTCCCCCTCCAACGTCACCTCACTTCAGTCAAGGGACTCCTACCTGGAGTCTCCATGACCCTTTAAAAATGGGTCCATGACCCCTCTATTTTGGGGAATGACCCCATTTTTGAAGGGTCATGGAGACTCCAGGTAGAAGTGGTTGGCTTCTTGGGGAGATTGAACACCA